GGAGTCCGTGCTGCGGAGGACGCAGCTGCGCTGGGCAGGGCGCGTCTCCACGATGGAGGATCACCGCCTCCCTCTGAATCACCACTTCGGTTTTACCCCAGACAATCTTGTTCCTAAACCCACTTAACAAATCCTCAGGTGGGGGGAAGAAGCAGATTCACAAATAAAAGGCAGAGAGCTCTCAGTTGCACTCTCATGTCCCCACCATAAGAGGGACATAGATCTGTCAAAATGAGTCCAGAGGAGGCCATAAAGATGATCCAGGGACTGGAGCAGCTCTGCTATGAGGACAGGCTGAGGGAGCTGGGATTGTTCAGCCTGGAAAGGAGAAGCCTCCAGGGGGACCTTATCACTGCCTTCCAATACCTGAAGGGAACCTACAGGACGGCTGGGGCAAGACTTTTTACAAGAGCGTCCGGTGATAGGACAAGGGGAAATGGGTTTAAGTTGAAGGAGAACAGATTTAGATTGGATCCGAGGAAAAAATTCTTCAGTACGAGGGTGGCAAGACTCTGGAATAAATTGCCCAGAGAAGCTGTGGCTGCTCCCTCCCTTGAGGTGTTCAGCGTCAGGTTGGATGAGGCCTTGAGTAACCCGGTCTAGTTGAGAGGCGTCCCTGCCCATGACAGGGGGGTTGGACTAGATGATCTCTAAGGTCCCTTCCAGCCTAGGCCATTCTGTGATTCTATGAACACAGACTTTGACGAGTAGAAGGCTCCATTCTAGGAAGAGCCTCCACCAAGAAACTACTGTACACAAAATATTCATCTTCCTTATGCTACAACCTTACTGTATGTAAAGGCTAACAAGTGCAGAGTAGCTCCGTGTGTGCCATGTGTCAAGGAAGCCTAAGATCGTATTTTCAAGCAGTCACATTTGGGCTACAGTCCCACACCACTGTACAACACAGCAATACATAGTGGGTGGCACGTAGAATTCTCTTGACTTCGGAAAGCCTGGAAGGGCTCTCATCACTAGACACACACTGCTTAGTCCGTAGACACAATTATGACACACCTTGACTTGCAATTTCTTTGTATCAGGAGATACACCATGTGTGGAAACCAAGATTTTAAAGACTTAAAAAGTTAACTGTGCTAAGTGATAAAAAAATCCCTATCGCAATTACATAATGAAATTCATGACACAAATTACTCTGCCCCGAGCCCAAACCAGTTCAAATTGGGAAACAATCCAGTAAGATACATGTGTACACCAGCCTCCTAAGCACACACTGCACGAAGCAGCCCTACAGCTTCATACCTGTGACTCTGGTCTCTCCTGGCAGACGAGGTATTTCTTCATTTTGTTCCCAGTTAGTTCCATCTTTTAGAGTCTAAAGAAAGAGACATACACGAGCACATCATATTTTATTTACAATTCCTTCAAGTTCCAGATTAAAAAAATAATCTTAACAGTAATTTCTGCATGGGAAAGAACACGTTTTTCCACAGCAGAAGCTGACAGACTGAACCAAAACAGCAACACAGACCACTGCAAGTGGTAAAACATTGAAAGGTTGGACAGATCTGAAGCAAAAGTATGTTTTAGTCTTCCTCCTTCTAAATGAAGAGTTCACTATATTTGCATTAAATTGGAATTAAATTTCCATAGTGTAAATTATCTGAAAGTTTTGTCCATTAAATTTTCGAAGTATGCTGGGCTTGGAAGAACAAATCAACTGAAATTACTTAAGCAAAGTACTCACAACTATTACACACAATCTAGTTGTTTGTGATTTTCCCACATTCACTTGTTTTTAAGAATGATTAATAGAAAATAAGAAATGTTTAAAAACCTAAATGAAATCTTAGTTCGTTTTCTTGCACACAGGTTACATTTTCTTCAGCCACGCTGCATCACAACCAGAGGGAAACGGCACTTAGGTTGCTTGAATGTAATTCCCACTACAGATGAACATTTTTAAAACCAAACCAGTCAAACAAAACAAGGTATAACTTATTAATTGCAGAACAGAATGCTTCTACAGCATCAAGGTGCCCAAAACTTTCAAGAATGCCACAGAATATTTCAATGTAGAAAGCAAGAATTAGAGTAAGTTTATTAGAATTGATTTTAAGGAGGATCTCAACTTGTGATACAGACACTATTTCACCCATTCCCCCTGAATGATATTTAAATCAACTCAGTTTAATGCACTGATTTTTAGCAATAAAAATAAGTATACACACTCAAGAAAAAAGTCATTCGAATACTCGTTTTTCTACCCAAATATGGAATATAATGATCTCTTGGACTTCTGAGGTATAAAACATGAAAAAAAGTTACACTCACCCTTTTACTTGAGGAACCCTCCAAGGAGTTTGAATTATATTTAGGTGTTGATGATGAGGCCATACCGGGTATCTGAGGAGAAAGCACAAATTAGAAACTTAAGCCTTGTCCTGGACTACACGCCTTTTAGAGGAGAGATTTTAGACTTCGGAGGTCCACAGGTAGACCTTAAGAGCTTCCAAGAACGTTTTGCAAGTTACTATTAATTTAAAAACTTACACAATGCTTTGCAACTGAAAGTCGCTACTTAAAAGCATTCCAATCTCCCAACAAATTCATTACTAGTTCTGGGCTTAGTTCTTATTATAAGGAGTATTCTGACACAAGCTGTATTTTGGAATTCGGTTGTTTGAATACTGTTATTAGTTCAGTCACCAGACATTACACAGCTTGTTTTAAGCAACAGGATACACACACTGTGAAAGGCAACCTACTCAGAGCACTTGCATTAAGACTTTGCATTTAAGAAAACAGGAACAAACTATAAAATCATTGCGCAGCTCTTGAAATCACAAGCATGTCAATAACTCAAGTGTTCCAAATTTAATAAAAAAAAATAATGGAAAAGCAAGAGTTATGCAGTACTTCTGCCTTTAAAAACAAGCCCCGACTCCTAAACTGAAACTTCAGTTAGCACACCAGAAGGGGGAGTGTCCAGCCTTCTGGTCTGAATCGCCTTGAAAAGGATTTTAATCTATACAATTAAAAAAAATAATTAAAAACGAAGACAGAATCACATGATACTGGATTCATCTCCTTAATACTTTCCTGACATTGCACAAGGGATCTCTAGAACAAACACTCATACTTGAAGTTACTTCAAACTTGGGTACTTTGTATCCAATTATATTTCCCTTTCACTAGTTAAACGCCCTTCACCGAGCGGATTTGACATCCTGCAGCACTCCTGAAGAGTTTTTGTTTAATCGGGAGGTGCTGGAGGGGTGATTACAGCCAACCCAATCTCTGTTTCTATTCCATAAATGAAACACTGCAGCCTTAAACAAGTGCTTTTTTCTCCCCTCTCGACATCAAAATATTTTGCACAGATCTCTCTGCCGGCTTGGCGTGACACTGTGACAGTCCTGCACAGGCAAAAGTGACAGATTAAACTGCAAGATCCAAAGTGCTTTGAAGTTATTGCAACAGTACAGAAACATGAAAGAAGGTGGAAAAGCCTGACTTGAAGTTCTACACGTTTGTTACCTCCTTACAGTGCCCAAGTCTGCCAGAGCTCAAAGAAAATATAGGAACTGTAATACTCGGTGATCCAGCTTATTGGTATAAAAATCATACCCTTCCACAAAAAGGGGGGGGAAAAAAAAAAAGGAACGTTAAGTTGAAAAATTAAGAAAAATGCTTTTTAGTGCTGCTGAGCCTGTGTGACCCTGTCACAGAGGTTCCTTCCTGCGTCCCAGGAGTCTCAGCTTTCTCCAAACGCCGAAATAAAGGGGTCTCGAACCAATTCTTGTGCAATGCCAACAAATTAAATGAAAAGTTACTAGCAATCAGCATTAAATCACTGTACTTTCAAACTACCCTCCACTACTGCAACACTGCAGGCCAACATTTTGACTATAAAATTTCCAAGAGTAAGATATTTTCACAGTTTTCCCCTCCTTACACTATCTTACATACTATAAAACTTTATGTAGATTTAACTTTTTTCTATATTGATAACTTGTGAACATCCAGTATTTGTTCAGACATCCAAATCTGTTTGTTCAAATTTTGTTCAGATTTGTTCCTGAATGTACAGAAGCTTAAGATTTTCTAATAACCAGATATTTATAGAGGCAAAAAGTATATTTACTCAGGAGCTTGTTTTAAAATGTTTTCCATACGAAGTAGTTTTTGTTCATATTTTAAGTGAGAAATACAGGTGAGACAACGGCACAGCAGCCCCAGTTTTCCCATGTCAACACAGAAAATGGTTTTAACTAGAGCTCACATAAATTTAAATTAAGGCTGCACCAACTGTGAGAGACAAGCGAGCATAAACAAGCCCTAGAAAAATAACATTTAAAAGATGTGGCAGCCCTGAGCAGACCTGCACCCTAAAAGGAAGATTCTGCCTGCAGCAGGTAGGGGCACCCCCAGGCCAGCTGTTGCTGTTGTGCCTGCAGCCCCTCCAGCAGCGAAGCCACAGCAGGAGAAGCTGCAGCGGAGGTCAGGGGAGCCCACCCAGGACCCCCGACACTCACCTCCCGGCCAAGCCGCTGCCCCAGCTCCTGGCAGCAGGAACTCCTTTGCCTTCCAACACGGCCTCTGGCCCAGCGCTGCTGCCGCCCGCACAGGGAACTGTTGGAAGGGTTTTAAAAGCCTCCTGTTTCCTCCTTCGCTTTCGGTTTTTCCTCCCTCGCTGCTCAGGCGCTAATTTTCAGCGGAACGGCAGCGTTACACGAGGTGAGTTACAGCTCTGAAATAAGCACCTGGCGCCAGCACACTGACTGTAGCTTCAAATTTACGCTACAGTTTGGAAAAGGAATAAGGAGAGGTCCTTTCACATTTTCAGGAAAATTTCTCTTTGTAGAACTGACAGTGCAGCAGGAGAGAGCACTGTCACCCCACCAGGCCACTTCAGGTGAACAGCATGTCAGCGCAGCTCCTGAAGCTCTCCTGTGCCTGTTTCTGTGTACGCAGGTTTATTCTGCGTAGAATTCCTCCTACTCTCCCTGAGACTGATTTCTTTAAACATACTTTACAGTGAGAATGAATTCACTCACTGACTCCAATTTGTGGAGGATATTTCATTACAGAATTACAACTAACCACTCTGTTTCATTTACAAAATTGTAATGATGGAAATTAGACTTACGCAGAGGTAACTAAGTTGAATAAATATGTATTGAAGGTAAAGTGTTATCTGTCAGATTTTTTTTTTTTACTAAAATTAATGCAAGTTATTTCATCAGTATATAAGCAGAAGAATTCTGTTAATGCTACCTAAATTTTGCTTGAAATCCAAACTCGCCTTACAGAACCAAACACTAATAAGCAAATTTCCCTGATTTCTGCAAGTAAACTATGGTCAAGTAATTAAACTTTACATTAGAAAACACCCATTGGACAGCATTTAGAACAGGGAACGCTTTTGGACCCCAGGCCAAGACAAGCATTGATAAACTGCTGCACGTTCAGAAGAGGGTCACCAAGAGAACGGGGACCTGGAGCACGTGGCCTGCGACGAGAGGCCAAGGGAGCTGGGAGACGGCTCCAGCAGGAGCTCACAGCCCCCCACCGGTACCTCTGAGTGGCTACTGAGCAGACAGAGCCAGGGTCCAAGTGGTAATCGATGAGAGGACAAGCTACTTTCGCACCTCAGGGCAGTAAGGCAGTGAAAGCATGGCCCACGGAGCTTGCAGTCCCTTGCATCCTCTGAGGTTAAGACGCAGCTTAAAAAAGCTTTGAGCAACTGGGCCTGACCCTGCTTTGACAAGCGGTTGAACCAGAAACCTCCTGAAGTCACTTCCAACCTGAATTACTCTCTGCCTCTGGGATTTTCAGGCAACAGACAAGATTAAGTTCTCATTTAAAAGTACCCACCAAGCAAGGACACATCCTTAATGAAGTGGACTCCTCTGCATCAAAAGAGCAAACAAATTTTCAATAACATTTAAAATGAGCATAAAAGTATTTCCTCTTAAAATAGTATTTCCTTCTCCATCAAACTGGAGAAGCAGCTTCTGGCAACCTCCCAAAGTAATACTGCCATGAACAATTCAAAAGCGTACTCCATCACAGTCTTAAAATAGCTACAACTTTCTCATTATCACGGAGCAGCAGTAGTCCTTCCACACAGGGAAAAAAAAAAAATCTCACAAGTAGTTTTCCACTGCAAAAACGCTTTATTCCCCAGTATCACCCCCATGTACCTCTATACTTGCACAAAACCTGAAAACCAGACAAACCTCATGCTTGTCAGCAGCTGAACAGACATACAATTACTCTGCAAAATTAAAACAAATCAGACAACTTTGTTTATGATATTCTGCAGTTACAAACAGTTGAACATTCTTCCCCGAATCTAGAATAGCAAGGAGACAAAGCCATTTTACTGGATTTAACTTGAACTAATAAACAAAGCTTTGTTAAAGTTACCAGAACTTAATATAGTAACACTACCAAGAAATGTAGGCTCCAACCATCTTACAGTAACAATTAAACTACTTGGAATCTGTATTTTCATTAAGGTGATATTTATACTTGTGCTTCCTAGGATTCATAGGAACGGAGGCACAACAACATTTGAAAGGGAAGACCAGATTTTAAGAAGTCAGTTCAAGGATTCTATCTGCTCTTTGTGAATAAATGCTGACAGACAAACATATGCCTACACAGAAATTCTGAATAAACTTTAGAACATGTAAAAAAGCTTTTGAGCGTTAAGAAGCCTGAAATGATCAGCTACTTTTTCCTCAAGGTTTCTTCACTGCCAGCAGGTTACGGGATGTGTGCAGTGCAGCCCGGAAAGCCCACCAAGGCCCTCACACACTAAGTTTAGATTGACAACAGCCTAGTAAAGCAAGTTTGCGTTGTTTATGATCCAGAAACAAATTAAAGCTCAGTTGACATTTTGCCGGTCCTGTCAAGGCTTCACCTTCACACCAGAATCACAGCAAATAACTTGTAACTATTGTATAACTGAGCCACGCTCGCATCATTCTAAAATCTTCGCATGTATAAAGAACTAGTTTGTGCCCCAACACAACACAATCTGCATCTGCCAAAGGATTACTACCACAAACATCTGAGAAGAAGTGCATCAAGTGCATCAAGTAAATTGTGAGCATCGCTTTTTCAGATATTTAATATTTTTGACCCTCCGTCACTGGATTAAAGCTTTGGGGAAAAAACACACGCTTTCAAATTTGTACCTGTATCAGTCATCTGGAGCATCAACAATTTTGACAACAGTTGGAGTGCACATATATATATAAAAACACAAGGGCAACTGGGTAAACATGAAAACTATTTGCTTTTACCAGAATCAGTATGGTAAAAATGAACCATGAGTTCAACCGGGCATTTTCCAGAAGCAACCCAATTTGTCACACATCAATAACCATGACACA